GCTGAGAGAGCCCCCGACGGCTGCAGATGCTGAAGATCCCACGGCGGTGTTCTGGGGGAAGGAGCTGAGGATGGGTCCAGGTAGGGTGACCACCACGGGAGGGGGTTGGATCACCACCGTGGAGTCCTGGCACTGCCTCACACAGGGCTCGTTGCAGCTGTTGGCCAGTGGGGTTGGGCTGCAGGAGGTGGAAGGACATCGCTCGTAGCAGGACATGGCTGTGGGATGGAGGTAAGTCTGAAAGAGAGGACCAGAAGTGAATGCAACGTGTAGGAGTCATACTGCACGTATATTTACTCAGCTCTGGTATCAGCACAACAGGAGCTTTCCAGGGATCCTTTTATGGGTTGAGTAAGGTGTGACTTGAGCAGGAAACACGGTTCTTAAATATGCTACAAGAAGATGGAGGCTGAAATAATCCTCTCTTACTTGTTGGTGATCCAATAGAATAGCTGGCAGCAGAACAAAAGGACACATACCTCTATCATTACTTTAATTCTAGTATTTTGCTTGGCTGTATGTCTGGAAAGATGTTATTGAGATCCAGCCCCAGGTATTCAGGGCATTGTAGAAGTAGTAATTATGAGTATTGCCTAGCCACAAATGTACTTAGGAGTAGAGTTCAATAGACATCTGGAAAATTAAATGAAGAATTATTTTCCAGGTTCTAATTTTGCCTACGAAGAGATACAAATTTCAATATAGTTGAGTGTACTTGAAGCTGGTTTTGGAAATCTTTCCCAGACAACTTGTCCACAAGAACTACCACCTATGAGAAAACCAGGAGTTCCCTGCACACTCCTTTTACCTGCTCCCAACACACTAACAAACACAAGGTTCACTGTTTCCTACGCCCATCTCAGTCTGTTTGGAACTCAGCTCTCCTCTATTTTTGCTGTTCTTTCCCCTTGTCCTCCCAGTCCCTGAAGCCATTTCTGTAAGCTTGCAGATGTCATTGCACCATGTAACAATTTCAAAACCTAGCAACTGTAAGACACCAAGCAGAACTTTTTCATGATGTCCATCATGCTAAAGTCCATGTTGATTATTATACCAGAAGAAGGTTGAGGATATGTGACCAGAGCCAACATCCCTGCAGAACTCAGCATGACTATTCCTTCTAATCTCAGTATGCAGATTCATTTTGTCTTCATTTAGAAAGTGGCATTTAGAGCTCAGCTCTTGTGGTTTGACATAATTGATTTTTAAAACCCACAAACCTCACCTTTAATCCTTCCTAGTTTAGCTGCTCTCCAGTCGTTTCTCAGTACCTGGTTCATTTTATCCTCTTGTTTCCCACTCTGCCCAGTAATAAATTCATCATAACAAAAATGGGAACACTGAAGAAGCCTCCCATGGAATAAACAGCAAAGAAAAGGATTTTTCTGGATGGCATTTCTGAAGACAAATGCATCCTCCTTTACACTCTTGTTTTCATATCAACCCAGCTGAAATCTTAGATGGATCTAGAAACAGATGATGGATAAGACCCTTAAAGATATACAATGCACATTGCTACTTGAAAGATGACTGAGCACACAGATCTCTGTAGTCATAGAATGGTTTGAGTTGGAAGGCACCTTTAAAGATCACCCAGTCCCAAACCCCTCACAAAGCTGTTCCAACCATTCAGGTTTTTGGGTTTTTCTAAGTCACTTAGCTTGTCTGAAAACCCCTATTTGTATAAATTTATTCCACCATTTCAAGGATCAATACGGCCAAGTTGGGAGTCCAGAAATACCTACAATTCTAACAGCAAAACCCAACTTTATAAAGAGAAAAACTCTTCCCCCCCAACCAATCCAGCAACTAGAACACTGCGGAGAAAAAAAGAACAGCAAAAAAATTGTTAAGAAGGCAAGAATTCAGCAAATAGAAAAAGAGAAGTAGATTTGAACTAACCTTGTTCACAAAAGAAGAAAAAAGGAAGAGAAGTGGTAGGAAGGACCCAGAGTTGAGTTAGCTTTTATACTGCATCTCAGATGGCCTGAGGACCACAGACATCCTTTGTGCATGGAATTATTTACCGACAGGTATGGCCTGAATGCAAAATGCTTCCAACTGATTAAATGTTTTTTTTTTTACTTACCATTTATTACTTTGTTTTCATTTCCTTATCTTCTGGCATACATATTCTGTCACACAAGTTTCTCTCATCTTCTGGTATTATGGGCCAAATTTATTCCAGTGCCACCTTCCAGTCACAACAAAATTTACTCTCCAGTGCATGTTTCACTTTAGTCATAAGGAAAAATATTAGGAAGAACTTATACCATACATAATTCATCATTCAAAGGTGTTCTGTTATTAAGAATATGAGTGTAAATTCTTAATAAACTCTGGTCTCCACCAATGCTTACGAAGCTCTGGCTCCAGCCAAGCGTAAGAACAATCTGGACTGAATTTCTGTGTTTTGTGAAGGCCTTGCAAAAAAGCACAAGCATCTACACACCTGAAATCCAACTGAGTACAATAAGAAAGAATCAGAACCCTGTGTGAAATCCAGAGGAAATATCCTATTATATGAAATTTGGGTAGTATCACCCTATTACACTACAGCAACACGGCTTGAGACACAGGGAGGCATTTAAAACTGATTTATCAGTTCTTTTACAAAGAGAACCTATAACTCCCTTCTGTACCCTCTCAGACCACAAATACAAATAGCTTCACAAGTCATCCGGAGGACACATAAATTTTAGACTATTTTGAGGTATTATCCTTGCACAAACTGAACTGTGGAACCATTGGGGGAAAAACCCACACAAGGGCCTGGCTGTGATTATTTGTTCCCTCACTACAGACTGCAGTGCAACAGTGATTGCACTGAAGACTGATGGAAGTTCATTGCACAAGTGGAATATATATGTACAAAATTTTAATGGTTTTTAACTTTATTTTGCAATCCCTTCTATACAGACTTCAGGGTTTGAAGCCCTCCTAGAAAAAGTTACCGAATATTGTGCGTGAGGATTCATAGACACCTGGGAAATAAAAGTTACTGGTCTTAGGTTCCTAAAGAAGAACTTCTTAGTCCTTCACTATTTTCATTAACTGCATATTCATAGAATTAAGTTATCAAACTGTTCATGGTATAGGATGAGGTTTTCACAGCTCCATCATCCATCCAAGAGGGTGTCTTTAAAACCTCTGAACCAAGATCATTCCTTGTTTTCTATAAGCCCATGCACAGATTTACACTTTCACAAAGAGAAGACATTTGTATTTTAAGAAACTCTATGAAAACCAGCCCTGAACTGTTCTTCAGAGAAAAACGACCTTTTACAAATTTTTAAACTGCTTTTCCATATTTCAATAACATTATCTAAAGTGACCCACTTAGACTCTTAAATATTCCCCTTCCTTTCCAGACCTAAACAATGCTACCAACCCATAAATGTGTCCATATAAAAAATAATAAACATGTACATTTTTGAAACATAAATCCTTCTGTAGCACCAGGTGCTTACTGGCACCTGCAAGACTTGTGAAAATACCCACAGCAGTTTTCAACACTCCTATTCTGCTGCCTTCTAATGCAAGAGCTCCTATTTGGTATAATACCCCACATTTTAAAAACAAACTCTTCAGAGATGACTGCAATATTTTCATAAAGACTCCTGAAGTGTCTGGTGACGTCTGGCTCCACTCCACACTGGTCTAATTGGCTCAATGAACTCATCCGAGAGGCTTGAAGCCCTCCTTGGAGATTTCCTCTGAGATTTTTTTTTAAGGATGGTGAGCAAGTTAACTGGCAATTGTTCTTAAGTGGGTCAGACAGGGAATTGCACACAAAGAGTTTTAGTAAATGTGTGGAATGTGATCTCAGATCTAGGAGACACCCACAAGCTAACAAATTGCTGGGGAGCTGAAAAAGGTCTTTATTAGACTGTGCTTGGAGTAATTTTGTATTGACACTAACAGAGTCAGTATAAAAGTACCAAAAATTAAAAGTACCCATGAATTGTGAAGATGAAAGAATTTTTAATGTGTAAAGTATACTTGTCATGTAATACCAGGCTGAACCTAGACTGGAAAACAAAAGCAAAATAATTTCATTATCAAGAAAATGTTCCACTTGCAAAAATACATGTGGGAACAAATTCATGCAAAAAAGGATGCCTCAATCAGCTCATAAATTTGTAAACATCTATATGCACAATTATTGTACCCATTTCTCCAATCTTAACGTACAAAGAGGACGTGGCTTTCAAACTGATGTTCACATTCTTCAGGAGCTGTCTCCCTAACGAAACATTTAATGAAGTCATCAACATGCTGCACAAACCCTCCGTGATGCCACGCTGTCTGAGGATGGCTGGTTCCAAGACACTGCTTTCTTTTTTCTTTTAAATCAGCAAGCAGATTTAGGGGCTTATGGTGGAGCATAGGCCCCCAAGCTTTTCCTTTCACAGTGAGCACCACAAACATGCTTTTCATCACATGCTCTTGTTGGACACAAGCCACTCGACCAGGCATTTCATTCTCTATTCCTGTGCTCTTTATACTACCTGTTTGCTTCATAGAAAAACACCTTCCTGCCACCAAGAACGAAGCTGTTCTTTGATGTACATCAGAGTGCAGTGATTCCTCACAGATCTGAATGAATAACTAATTACTTCAGCCATACCAGTTCTGTCAACAGGGCACCACGTGTACACACACCCATCCCTTCATTATGTGTTTAGAAAACACATTTCAAATACATTGAAATCGATTTTTAAGCAGAGACTCCACTCAGACTAGTACCTATTGATAAACCATCTTTCATACTTTGCTGCCTCAGGCCACAGCCTAAGAGTGGACACATCCCATCTCTCTATTTTCCCCCCCCACCCCAATTGGTAACTTTGCAAGTAATCCTTAAGCAAAGAAAATGTAGAACATCAGTCTAAAACATTTGAAAAAATAAACCTACCTCTTTTCCCCTCCTGTGTGGGCATTTGGACTGGTTCCAGCAGTAAATCTAAAGGCCAGGTATCTTCCCTCTGCTTCCGCCACTGTTTCTACCACAGCAATATGATACTTAAGTTTTCAAATAGATGTCTGTGGTTTCTAAAGGAGAAAACCCTGCGTGAGCTACAGAGTCATCAGAAATCACACAACTCTCATCCCTACTGCTTCCCTGTGTTATGTCCTGCTGCACTCCATGGAGCTCCAGTGGGAGAGCAAAGGAGTCAGATTAATTTCTCAGAGCTTATGCACCTACAGAAAAGGCTATTCTTTATTATTCTTTGATGTCTCTTAGTTGCACACAACATGCTGAGTTCTAACAGCTTGGAGAAAATTCCTACATGGTGAATAACAGGATTAAACCCAAACTGTTCTTAAGGAAAATACGTATGGCCGTTTGTCTAGGTCTTGACTCATGTAATTTTTCCTCTACATTATGAGAGCTCATGCATGGATTAGCTAAGGAGTAAGATTTATTGGATTTTGTTTAAGGCTTGAAAGAGAAGACATCAAAGCCAATCATAAAAATTTACTAATGATGCAGCCATGTAGAGTCTGAATACTCTGATGAGATTTGAAGACTCACCCACCTTTGAAGCCTTGAGTCAAGATCACTCAAAGCGTGTCACGGTTAAAGCTTCTATTCTATCCAGTACTATTCAGTCAAACAAAAACCAGCAAACCAAGTGCTGCTACTAAAACACTTAATTACGCACTTCCAAATTCCTAGAGTTTCAAAGATGCCAAAATAAGTGATAAAAGCAGAAAGCTCCCAACCTGAAATATCACAACTATACTTTTACACATGGATGTGAAAATTTGTTGGAAAAAAGTAGAAGAAATATATGTAAACCTGTTCAATTCTTCAGAAGAGTGCAAAAAAGAAAGAAATTATTTTTATCACCTTGATTGTGGTGACATTTCAATACACATGTTCCACTGAAAAGGTGCTCTGCATAGATTTTCATATAATGACAAATTCCTCCTCAAGGGGATGAAATAAAGGATAAGAAAACCACAAACAAAACTCAAATTTGGATGCAACATCAGTTTAATGATAAAAAGACAAGTAGTACTCTGAAAACGAAAGGATATATACATTTCTATAAGGGAAAGAAGTGATTTAAACCATTCCAGCTGAAACACAGCAAGCAAGACTGCTTCTCCTTATTTCCTGAACACAGCCCCTCCACTGAACATTGACAAGTACAGCATTCTATCAACTCAAAGTGAAACTCAAAACCACAGATGCAAGGAAAGTAGTCAAAAGCAGGAATTTCAAGGATCAGACAACATGTTGGCAATGTGTCCAGACAGCATGTTACTCCCTTCCCTCATTGGCAGGAGGGCACAAGGGTGCTCAACCCATCTGGAAACCGTGGCCAGCAGCTCCGTCCTCAGTCCGGCACCTGGCTTTGGGCTTCCTGGTCGATGCACTCCATGGAGATCTGGCCCACCTTTAGCAGGGCAGGCACCTTCTGCCACAGTAGCGGCCACCAATGCCAGAGAGGCCAAAGCCCCCGGAGTTGATGGGCACTCCCTCCTCACTCAGGATGTTGCCCACGGCAGCGGATGCTGAGGATCCCACGGTGGTGCTGGGGTAAGGAGCTGAGGATGGGTCCTGGCAGGGTGACCACCACGGGAGACGGCTGGATCACCACCCGGGAGTCCTGGCACTGCCGCACACAGGGCTCGTTGCAGCTGTTGGCCAGTGGGGTTGGGCCACAGGGGCGGCAGAGATCGTAGCAGGACATGGCTGTGGGCTGGAGGTGCACCTGGGAGAGAGGACAGGGAAGGCACAGGCAGCAGGTGAGGTGCAGCCTGACAGCCTGCTCAGCGAGAGCAAAGGCTCAGGCTGGGCAGCAGGGACAGCCTGCCTGGGGAGCAAGAGATGTTAAAGAACCCCAAACTCATTGGGGACCCTCTAAAGAAAGCCCAAGACCTTCTCCCAATTCCCCCCACAGTGACAAGGAAAACAGATGCTGGGAGCAGTGTCAGGGAGACAGAATCCCACCAAACCCTACACCCCAAGAAAAAGACTGAGTCTAGACCAGGAGTGAAAGAGTGGAACAAGAGCAAGAGAAGAGTGAGGCAAAGGCGGTTGCAGCTCACCTTGTTCACCAAGGAGGAGAAGGCAAGAGCAGTGGATGAAGGAGCCTGCAGTGGCTCTGCCTTTTATACTCTCCAGACCGCCCCAGGCCCAGAGGCAGCCTTGGCTCATGGAAATGTGTTTACCAACAAACTCATCTTCCATGCAAAACATCATAATTAAAGAAATGAGGACACTGGTTTTGCTCTTTGCAATGCTGCCTTTTCATTTCCTTTGTGGCCCTTCAGCCACACAGGCTCCTTTCAATTGACACTATTAGAGGGCAAAATACTTCCCAGGGAAAATGACACAGAAGTAAAAGAAGAATGATCCCAAAGTACAGTGCCTGAGCAAGGAAAATGTAGAGACAGTAGATGGGCACAGCCCAGAGCCCACCTCAACCATCAAGGAATGCCATCAAGCAGGACAGTCAGCCCACAGGCCTGGAGCAGATCCAGCAGCAGTAATCTCGGTCCATAACAGCCACTCATTGCTGACCAGGGCCATAATGACCAGGCAGACCCAAGGAGAGGTTGGGAAATCAGTGGGCAACCTCAGGGGGGCTCTTGCTCAGGCATGAGCAAATCAGCAGAAGAGCAGGAGGCCCACAGTCCTGCCAACAACTTGAGGAAAGGTTTAAGGGCTCAGGACAGAGCCTAAATAGAGCCCAGGGACAGAGGGAAGAGGAAGAGACCCCAGGTGGGGCTGCTCAGGGCTGTTAGGCTTGTTACTGCACTCAGGCCACTGATGGGCAAGAAGAGGAAATCTCCTGTGCACCTGGGACACAGGACACCAGTTCTGACTACCACAACAATGGGTGGAAGGACTCATTCCTTCAAGAGAGAAAGCTGAGGTTCATTTCATCCTGCAAAATGAGTTTTTATTTCTAAGGCTCCTTTTGATCACACCCTTGACCCAGAAAAGCCACAGGGAAAGGCTCCTACCAGACCTTGATACTCCCAAAATCAGAGCTTATGGTGGGGATCTGCCCAAGGGCTCCAATGTCCTGCCCCGACCAGCTCTCTCACATCATGTCCTGCAGATGCCTTCTACCCTCCCTGGTACGATCCTTTCACCCCACCTTGTTTCTGCTGCCAGCTTGGCATGGCTCATGGTTCTTGATGAAGAGTGCTTGTCCTGAGCACCTTCCAGCCCAGCAGGGCCCAGGGGTTGTGCTGAGAGCAAATGCTTGCAGGGAAGATGGGGCTTTGGCTATGGGGATAGGCACTGTAGGGGTTCCTACAGTGTGCAGGACAGTAGAAGGGGTGCTCCTCACTCTACATGAAGTAGGACTGGGAGTCACGGGGTAAAACATCACCCGTGGAGGACTGAGGATGTGGAGGAAGGGTTAGGCAGCTTGTCCTTACCTACACCCCAGTGTGGCTGGAGCAAGCACCACATCCCAGTGCAGTTCACCACACCAACTCCATGCAAAGTCCGTGCATGAGCAAGGTCACTTCCTTCCCTGATCAGGGAATCACAGAATTGCTGTGGTTGGAAAGGACCTTTAAGATCATCAAGCCCAACCATTAGCAATCTCTACCAGGCCACTTCTTCACCATATCCCTTAGCAGCCCATCTAGATGGCTTTTAAATACATCCAGGGATGATGATTCAACCACTTCCCTGGGAAGCCTTTTCCAGTCTTTGATCACCCTTTCAGTGTAGAAGTTTTTCCTATGGTCTAACCTAAACCTCCCCTGATGTAACTTGATTCCAGCTCTTCTTGTACTGTCAGCTGTGGCATGTAAGGAGAGTCCCACACCCACCTCCCCACAATCTCCTTTCAGGCAGTTGTAGAGAGTGATAAGGTCACCCCTCAGCCTCCTCTTCTCCAGGCTAAACAACCCCAGGTCCTTCAGCTGTTTCTCATAAGGCTTATCCTCAAGATGCTTCACGAGCTTTGTTGCCATTTTCTTCACCCTCTCTAGAACCTAAATGTCCTTGTCCTGTGGTGCCCAAAGCTGATCCCAGTGCTCAAGTTGTGGCCTCACCAGTGCTGAGTACAGTGGGACAATCACTTCTCTAGTCCTGCTGACTACACCATTCCTAATAGAAGCCAGGAGCCCATTGGCCTTCTTGGCCACCAGGGCACAATGCTGGTTCATGTTCAGACGGCTGCCAACCAACACCCCCAGGTCCCTTTCTGCTCAGCAGCTTTCCAGCCACTGCTCTCCAAGTCTATGGCTTTGCATGGGGCTGCTGTCGCCCAAGTGCAGGACTCAGGCCTTCGCCTTGTTAAATCTCATACAATTTAACTGGTCCAGCCTGTCCAGGTCCCTCTGAAGGGCCTCTCTACCCTCAAGCAGATCAATGCACCCACCTAACTTGGTGTCATCTGCAAACTTACTGGGGGTGCACTCCATCTCCTCACCAAGATCATTGATAAAGATGTTAAAGAGGAGCAACCCCAGCACTGGGCCCTGGGGACACCACTTGTGACCGGCCACCAACCAGATTGAGCTCCATTCCCCACCTCTCTCTGGACCCGGCCATCCAGTCAGGGCATGATCCCGAGGAGTGTGCACCCATGAGGCCTAGAGCAGCCAGTTTTGTGATGAGAATGCTGTGGGGCACAGGATCAATTGTTTTACTAAAGTCGAGATAAACATCCACAGCCTTCACCTTGTCCACCAGCTGGGTCACCTTGTCACAACAGGAGATGTCAGCGGTCTTTGAGCTCAGCACATAAAAAACAATGGCTGTATCTGGAGAGTGTGTTCTTTCCTTCATATGGTGTGCAGAGGACAGCGAGGGACTTGCTGAATGCCCTCAAGTCAGCCTCATGAGCCACAGGCCATGTAAAGTACCACACAGTGACTGTGCGTCTCTGCCAGCAATGCTGAGCACTTCACAAAGGGAGCTGGGGGGCACACAGAGAACATTATGGGGCAGAGGTAGAAGATTCAGACTCCTTGAACATCTGCCACACACCACATAAGTCTTGGAGCCATGGAAAGCATCGCAAGGGTTGGCAGAGACACGACGAGTCTGGTGATCAATTTAAAGGAAATTGGGTGGCTTTGGGAGGGCTTTCTGACATGTATATGACCAGAAACACTCCTGTCCAGGCTGACAGTTCCAGTGGCATTCTTATTCACCAAAGAAAGTTGTGACTCCACTGCTTTGCGTCACCCATGCTTTACCCTCCAGAGCAAGCCATGTCCACCTGGACACCTGGGCACCCCAAGGGGGAAAGAACACAAGGAGACATCAGGATACAAT